TAGAGAACAATAAAGCAAATATGGATGGCATATCGGTAACTTCTGAATCCAGGTGGCAGATATACCAATGTTCTTTGTTCTATTCTTTCAAGCTTTCAATATTTTCAAAGTTTTTTATTATAAAAAAGTAGGGGGGAAATAGGAAGAAAACTAAAAGAAGGTAGTTGAAAAGTAAAGAAAAAACATGATCTCAAAATCATTTATGAATACACATCTACACAGTCACCTGAAGAACCTTCTCCCTTACATAAAAAAAGAGATTACTCAGCCCACTATCATCTGATCAATATAAGTAAACAGATTTCAAACAAATACTTACACACTATAAACAGCAATAGTACTATAACCTGTCAACGATTTGAGGAATGTTTGCCATTGGCAAACAGAACATTTTGTTATGATACCTACCACTGAATCAAAACACATTCTTACATCCCTTAATCTGACATACTAAGACATCAAGAGAAGCACTTCTTTGAAATTTTTTGAATTGAAAAATATGATCACATTTGAAAGACAGCTAGCCGACTATCCTCCTAAGATTTACTTCTATTTCCAACAAACTTTTATTAGCCATTTATTCTAAATGCCACAAAACGAAATTCTTTAAATTCTTATCTTGTATTTAAACACAACAAAAAATAGAGGGGCCAGCCCCTTGGCCAAGTGGTTAAGTTCATGTGTTCTGCTTCAGTGGCCCAGAGTTTGCCAATGTGGATCCTGAGCACAGACCTAAACACTGCTCATCAAGCCATGCTGTGGCAGCATCCCACACAGAAGAACTAGGAAGGACTTACGACTAGGATATACATCTACGTACTGGGGCTTTGGGGAGGGGAAAAAAAAGAAAAAACAAGAAAAAAGAAGACTGACAATAGATGTTAGCTCTCGGCCAATTTTCCCCACAAAAAAAAAAAAGAAAGAAAGAAACAGATATACTCAAGTGGGAAAAGGAAGACTTGTTGATTATCAACTATACGCTTGGTGCTTTACATAAAGTGTTTAATGATAACCTTATGAGGTAAATATTCCCGTTTAAGAGATGAACATCTTTAAGCTCAGAAATGTTAAGTAACTAGCTCATAAATAAGAGCTCATAAGTGATGAGGCTGGAAACTGAATTAAGGTCTGTTAGAAATCCAGGTTTGAAAGTCCATATTCTCTCCACTTAACTGGCCTTAATGGATTTAATATTTATACAAAGAAAAGTCCACCTAAGGAAATTAAGTTTAAAAGAATATCATCATATTCAAAGAGCTACATAATCTTAAAGTTTAAGAAAGATTAAAACTGAGAAAAAAGAAAAAGTATACTCTAAAATTATTGTTAGTTGTAAAAAAGAACCAATTCTTAGCAAGCCAGCTGTCTATGACACAGGACAGCTAGTACTTTCCTCTCTGTACATGTAAAATTATACTCCAGTTGCCCGCTGGATGACCCCACTGCCAAATATGCTAGCAACATAATTCACATTAAAACCCAGAGGCCAAACAGCATTTGGAAAGTGCTGTACATGTATACTATACCCATCTCAACATGTTCACCACTCAAAACTAACAGGCTATTTTCAGCAAATATTCTTTGATCTATCTTATCTTTTTCTGCCACTCTAAAATTATATTAAACTTATAAACAAGAAAATCTACCTAAATACAAACATCCCACAACTGAATATTAGAATATTAGTATTACATGATCTTGAATTTGTCTATGACATAAAAGGATGCCAAAATTACATTTCTATAATATAAATTATGCAGTTTCTTTCTATAGGTTCAAAATTCCAATGCCTATGTCTCTTGTACGTCTAAAGACACACACAAAATATGCAGAGAAATCTATATGTTAAAGAGTTTTCCTATTTAAAATTAAATCCTCCTGAACTGGATTAGTGACTAGAAGAGGGCATGAGGGAGCTTGTGGAGTTGTAGTAATATTCCGTATCTTGATGTGGATGTTGGTTACACTGGTGTGGTCACTTGGTAAAAATTCACTGAGCTGTACATTTATGATCTCTGTACTTTTTTGTGTACTTTATAATTTATAAAAAGCTTATATTTTAAAAATTCTCAATCTAAAAACCTGCCTTACTATATTACATTGATATCAAAGATGTTAAAGCCCAGTGAAGAAAATAAACAAGTAATCAGGAATTTCATTAGAGAGCTATGACAGAAGTAAGCACTATGTACCACAGGAGCACATAAGAGTTGCACCTAACTTATCCTGGAAGATGTAAAAGAAAGTTTCCTGAAGATACATCTGAACTGAGCGCTGAAGGAAAGGACTCAGCCAAATGAAGCAAGGCGGAAGGGGAAGATTGGAAAGGGAACAGAGAGTGCAAAGACAAGAGGAAAAGCACTTTATCTGAAAGGAAGCCTAATTTGAATAAGACTGTATCAAATAATTTATGGAAGAGAGCAAGGAGGAAAGCCTAGAGAAGAGTCAGATCATGAAGAATCTCATATACATTCCATGCTACAGTTTAAAGTTTATCCTGAAAGCAAGAAGAAAGCACTGAAGATCTTTCAACAGGAAAAATCATGATTAGATTTGAATTTGTGCTGTAAATGTCATTTATGGTGCCTGCCATACCTGCAAGCCCATTTTGTGAGAAACCAGCTTGCACACTGGCCCATGCTTTTCACATTATGATCCTGCCCCACACCCACATGCACAAATAAACACATGGCCAACACTAAATGGCCAGGAGTGGTCACATGACCCAAGTACCCAGGCTTGCTAGCAGCCCATGAGAAAAAGAGCTGAGCCAAAGAGATTGCTTCTCAGGAACTCAATCCAGAAAATCCTAGTGAGAAGGAAGAAGTTAGCAACAGGAGCTCAAGTTTATAAGATAGCAGCCAGGAGGCAAGATTTTGGCATGGGAGTGACACAATAGTTATAAAGAGACAGAAATTAGGAATAAATGGAAGCTATGAAACAGAGGGGGAAAAATTGGAGTAGAGAGAAAAAAATAAGCCACAGAGAAATAGAGTAGCTAAAACAAGTTAACAGTAAAGCACTAGAGTGAAATCTGTCTTTTCCTACTTCTAGTTCTAGTTTTATTTATTAAGCTCCTGTTCTTCTTGAGACCAAGGTGTTTAACTTTTTCAGGGTTCCCTTGTGCCTGTTACCTTTCAATAAGCACTCCACTACCTAAGGTAACTTGAGTCTCTTGCTTGCAACTGAAAGAGGCTAACTAAAAGAGCATTTTAGAACACTTACTCTGGCGGCAGTTCAGAGAATGAACTGAAGGGTATGGCAAAACAAGAGACAGAAGAGAGCAGGCTAGAAGACCACTTAGAAAGCATTACAGAAGCACGACATTTGGGGTTAAAATAGAGACAATAAAAATAGCAATAAGGAATGATCTGAAATATCATGAGGGAGAATAAGTAGACTTAGTGATCTTGGTAGTAAGGTACAGAGTGAAAAGGAAGATGATTCCCAGGTCCATGAAGCCTTCATGAGGAGACAGCAGTGCCATTCATCAAGACAGGAAATCAAAAGAAAAATTTTGTTTCAGTTTGTCTCCCTCTCCCCCACCTTTTTTGAGGGAAGAGAGGTAGAGAATAGTTTTATTCTGTACATGTTTGAAGTGCTTGTGAAACGTGAATCCAAGTGGAGATGTCCATTAGCAGTGATTTATAGGGGTCTAGAGTACAGCAAAAGCTCTACACAGTAGCTCCAGACTTAGGAAGAAATACATTAACGTCATAGTTTTAAAACATGACTGAAAATTCTTCAGCTAATATTTATTTTAAACTAAATTAACATAATTAAAAATCAGGTAAATCAAAAAACTTATTCTTGGCAAACCACACTGTCAACCCTCTGCACTTCTCTGCAAACACTGAAGATTGAACAAGCTTCAACAATAGTGTAATCCAAATGATTAGGAAAGATGTGATTTATACTACTAATGTTTACTGAGGCTTTACTCTTTTAAAAAAAACCTAAGTTTACTCCATTTCCCTCATGAATTATATACCACTAATGTTAACTAAGGGAAAAAACTGTTAAAAAGTCATGTTAGACAGTGAACCTCGCTACTGATGCTTAAACTATAATAACAAGATTTTTTTTAAGTTAATCACATAATTTACAGCTTAACATTCAACTCTTCCTATACTGTAAATGTTGGGTTTCTGTCCTACAATCTGTTCTCCTCTCATCTATACCCTTTGCTCCAGAATCTATTACTACCAACCCAGAACTTGATAATAAGCTTAAGCCACAAATCCAGCTGCCTACTGGCCATCTACATCGGACAGAAGTATAATCACCCAAATGTCAGAAATTGAATTCCTCTTTCTTGACAAAAAATAAAAATCCCACTCCTCCCTCCTATGGCTCACCACCTCAGTGAAAGGCAGAAGCTAGAAACCTAGATATTATTCTCTATGAACCCTCTCCCTAATCCCAAATTGAATGAAATCACCAAGACTTATCTATTCCCAATACTCAAATCCATACCCACTGCCACCATTTGCCTGGACTACCCTCCCAATATTCCTGCCTTTAGCATTAGTCTACCCTTCAATACAACACTCCACACTGCAGCCAGAGTGACCTTTTAAAAATGCAAATCTGATCATTTCAGTCCCCTACACCAAATCCTTCAATAACTTATTTGATAAATATAATCACCATCAAAACTAGTCACTCCACGGAAGCTCAGAGGTTCAAAGAGAAATTTACTTTAGTTATACCCTTTTTTGTAGGTTCAACACAAAAGAATCATCAGGAAATTTTAACAGCTGATACATTTAAAAGAAAAGCATGCAGCACTATTTGTAAAAGCAAAGACTGAAAAATAACCTCAAGACCCAAAATGGAATACTATCCAGCCAGTAAATGAGGCACTTCCATATGTACTATTGTTCAATAACCTCTAGGATCTATTATTAAATGAAATTTTTTAAAAACAAACTATATACAGAGTGTACAGTATGTAAGCATTTGTCTGTGGTGTGTTTTAAAAATATAAATGTACAGACCTGTATACACTAGAAGTATCACAGGAAGGTCACACACGAAGATGGAAACAGTGGTTGCCTCTAAAGAGGGAAAATGGATGGTTGGAGGTAAGAGAGGGAAGAGAAATTTTTTACTGCATACTCTTTTGAACCTTTTGACTTTTATACTATGTTCAGTTATTACCTATCCTTACGATTTTCTCCCTCCTCAGTTCCACACACACAAAATAAAAATTTTAAAAGTACTGACTACAAAAATCTCTCTATACTTCATCCCTGTACCAACGTTAAAATTATGCACTGATCATTTGGGGTAACATTACATTACCTTCTTGACAGCTCAGGAGTTCAACTTCAACAAACAACATTTTATTCAATATTTTACTACTGCTGGGAAGGCTGTTGATAACGTCAGTGAACACTGCATGATAATCGTACTTGCTCCTTGGAAAAGCAACACAGCAGCACCAGGGAGTAAAAACTTAAGTTTAACTGATATTAAAATTTTCAGGGATTAAGTAAAGCTACAAATCCTACTTTTCCAGGAAATTCAAAACCAGCAAACCAAAAAAAAGTCCCCTGGTATCCTTCAAAAACTGCAAAAGATCTGCAAAAATCTACAAGAAAGTGAGGCAAATGATACTACACGGACACAGTTATATCCATTAGTGTAATGTGATTTAATCCTTATAGAGGTCCCTAAAATGTCATATCTGGACTACCTCACACGTTCTGCAGAAGAGACAAGATGAGAAGCTGGCTGCGTGACCTTATAAGAGCGCACCCATCCCCTGCCCTGGGCTTCACACTCCTCCCTCTCCCTCTCTTTAGCCACCAGAGTAAACCCTGCAAACATAGGTGTCACTTGGTCCGCTTAAGCCCCACTGGGAGGAATACTAGGCTGAGCAAACATGCCTTCAGGATTTCACAGCAAAGCCCTTCAACCAAAAAAAGGATCAAGACCTTTCTTTGAAAGAAAGAAAGATAAGGACTGCCTGAGAAGAGAAGGTCTGTGGGAGAGGCTACAGCAGGGGTGGGGGAGAGGCCGCGGTCTGCTGGCGTCTAGAGCGGCTGACACCAGATCTACCGGGAGGTTAGAGCATCACGACACAGACTCTGAAAGCCGAGTTGGGTCGGGGAAGAGCTCGTCGGCTGTGTGCGGAGCGAGCTGGGAGAGGGGTTCCGCTGGGGAGAGGGGTGGGCAGCGACAGACAGGCCTGGGAGCTGGGGGTCGCAGTGGGTTAGGGGGCGGCCGTGACTGGGAACTGTGATCCGGTCAGCTCATAGAAGGATGTAAGGGAGCCCGGAGGCTCCACTAAATACGAGTGCTAAGAGAGTCCGAGGGGTGCTCTAACCGGGTGTGCTCGGGGTGGGGGCCCGGGAGAGAACCGCCGGGGAGGCTGGAGGGCCGGAATGGTGCCGGCCAATGGAAGATACGATGGGTGGGGTCTCCTGGAGCCCCCGGGCAGCGATCGGGTGTCTGGGAGGCTCCGGGGCCGACCCGCGCGGGGCGTCTCCGTTGGGGCTGGGCGGGGTGGCCCCGCCAGAGCCAAAGAGCGAGACTGAGACGTGGGCCGGGCCGGCGGCAGGGCCGCTGGGCGGCTTGGGCGGGTCTTACCTCGGGCTTCGCCGCGGTGGCAGCCCCCTCCTCTTCGGCGGAAGCCGCCTCAGCCTCGGCCCCAGGGTCAGACCGGAGGAGACAGCAGAGGCGGAGGCCCCCAAGAGTCGGACGGTTCCGGGAGGGTGGGCCCAGCCGCCTCAGGGTCCGGGCGAGCGGCCGCCGTGCATCCCCCGCCCTGTCAGAGAGACTCCGCCCGGCCTGGGCAGACACATCGCCCGCCGCACCCCGCCCAGAGAGCACGCGTTGGACCGCCGCCTCAACCGCTGTCGCCGCCTCTGCCGGTGCCGCGGTGCCTCCTCCGTCGCCTCTCACGGTCCTGGTTGGACTCTCAGAAGCCAACGCCAACCGCCGCCGCGTCCCTAGTCCGCTTCGGCCCGCGCGCCCCCGACCCCGCGCATGCGACCCCGCCCCGCGCGACTCCTCGGCTGCAGGCGAGCAGGCGCGCGCGCACTTAACTCCCACGCCCCCTACCGCCCGCCGGAGCTGGCCCGCCCAGCCCCGCCCCGCCCCCGCCCCCGCACGTGACGCCGCCAGCGAGTACAGTTTGCGCTTGCGCGGGCACGCCTCATCGCGTCCGCCTCAGGCGGCCCCGCCCAAACTTTTCTTCCTCACCTTACGGCAGAACGCTGCTTAGATTTTCCCTCTAGGAGAGAGGAGTGTCGCAAGGTTGGGGTAGAAAAACTCTGAGTTTGCGACAGTAGGTCTCGCTTTCCGGCCAACACTGAGGTTCCTGAATGCTGGTTGGGGTGGTGAGGCCCGAGGCAGGTAAGAAGCCGCCTGCCCACTTCGGTTTGTCGGTCAGTGTGTCCCAGCCGGAGACTGCTTTGCTGCGCACGCAGACCTAGTGTATCCGTGCCCCATCCCCAATTTTGGCGCAGGGTTCTCAGCGCCGCCCCTCTTCGCCCCCGCCCCTTTCCACGCACACGCCCCCTCCCCCCGCATTTCCCCGCCCTCCTTTTTCTAGTCGTCCTTTCCATTCATTCCTCAGACTTCTCTGAGTCGTTTCCGTGCTTTAGACTCCGTAAAGTCAGAAGCGAATGAAATAGTCTTCAGCTTTCTGAAGTGCTGTGTTTTGTGGAAGACAATGAGAGAATCTGCGGTGGTAGTATAGTAAAATCATAATAGGAAAAAAAGCACATGATACTCTCTGAGCATAGAAGAGGGGCCCCTGATTGTGTAGAAGGACACGAGGAAACCCCCTCCAAGGTGACCTATGGGTCACTCTTAACTATGTTAAAAGACATGAACGGTAGCTGGTCAAAGAAGTACGTGGTGAGATAGAAGCAAAAAGAATAACGGGTACAAAAGCATCTGACAGTATTGGCTGGAAACGTAAAAAGTTAGAGGAATAGAATATAGCTGATGGAAACCTTACTTGTGTAGGTTACCCTTTAAAGAAGCATCGCTGTAAAGGCTGAGAGCGATGAGGGGTGAGTATGTGGGCCGCAAGAGTGTTTTCTTTAAAGATGGCAGACTCAGGCATAAAAGTGTACCATGGAAGCGAGAAGTGGACAATTCATGGGTGAGGGTGGCTGATTTATGGGATCAGGAGCACTAGAGGAATTCAACCTTGTATGCACATTACATTAGAATCATCTGGGAATCTTTTTTAAAAAGTAAAAATCAATGCTGTTGCTCTACCCGAGACCAATTAAACAAACTCTGGCATCAATATTTTTTTAAAGTTCCTGAGGTGGCTCTAATGCTGAGGGTTGAGAACCACTGAACTAGAGAAAAAGAAAGGATGAAAAGTAGAGAAAGGCAGGAAGTTGATGGGCTCTGTAACGTTAAGATGGGAGTCATTGATGAGAGAGCTGGGGATAGAATGAGAAGCTTGAACAGGGTGATGAAAGTTTTGAATAACTGCTCTGGGAAGTGGGAGAAAGAGTCCTGCCTTTCCCTTCAGCACGTTCCATCCCTCAGTCTTAATCAGGCCTGTCTTGGTTACAGCTGTCTTTCCTCTCCTTTTCCCTTCCATCCAGGATTTGTCAGCTGGGGATCCAAATTTAGAGCTCAAGTGCATCCTCATTTCTATCCCCAAAAAAATCAGAGCTAAGCCAATTTATGAGATTCAAAGGCTAACATCACTCCCCTAGAAATTACTACACACAGTGCCTTGCCAATTTAGAATCTGTCTTCTATTATTTATTTCATTAGTCATTTAAATTAGAAATGATATATAAAGATATTTAAGATACAACTCTATTAGGGCCTCATAGTATTAGGGAAAACAAACTTTTTGGGGGGGGGGAACATTAGCCCTGAGCTAATATCTGCTGCCAATCCTCCTCTTTTTTTTTTGCTGAGGAAGATTGGCTCTGAGCTAACATCCGTGCCCATCTTCCTCTACTTTATATGTGGGACGCCTGCCACACCACGCCTTGCTAAGCGGTAACCCGAGATCCAAACAGATGACCCAAGATCAACAGGCAAACCCCCAGCCACTGAAGTGGAGCGTGCAAACTTAACTGCTGCGTCACCGGGCTGGCCCCAGGGAAAACAAACCTTTAAAAGAGGAATTCACTTGGCAAGCAGAGGTCTTTATAAAGCAAAGCCCAAGCCACTGCATGGTTACTGTCTGTTAACTAGGGTTAATCCAAAAACCTGTCTATCTGCCTCCAGATAAGAGACTTACTGTTGTCTGCTGTGACTGGAGTTTAATATGGAGAATAGAGGTGGGGCAGAGATAAAGATGATAAAATGGGTGTGAACAAATTATGAGGAGTCTTGAATTCCATGCCAAAGCATTTAGATTATATACTGTAAGCAATTAATAGGTATAAATAACAAAGGTAAAAATAAAATAACTTGTTTACACCATGAATCTCTGTCAGCCTGGCCTGTGGACCCTATCTCAGAATGAGGTTTTTAAATGTATAAAATAAAATACATAGAAACATAAGTGAAATCAATTTTATTGAAAGTTTTAAAAATACTAAAACAAGTGTGTGGTGTAGTTATATATGTGCTTCTTTATGCATTAAATAACATCTGGCAGCAGGTCTAATTATGTAATTTCAAAATAATGAGTATAAATTATATTTTGAGATACTTGTAACTACTTTAATGTGATGTGAAAATATCGTTTTTCTATTGATGACAAAGACATAGGGACTGCTAATACTACTGTGGATTATTGCCTACACTTACTGAAGAAAATACTAAATTTTAGCTAGAGATTATTGAAAATAAAGATGCAATTTTTTTCCCAATCCAAGTTCCTGGAACTCTTAAATTCTGGCCACATCCTGGCCCATGGATCCTAGATTTATAAAAATCTCACTGTAGGGCCAGCCCAGTGGCACAGCAGTTAAGTTCGCACGTCCCACTTCTCAGTGGCCTGGGGTTCGCCCGTTCGGATCCCAGGTGCAGACATGGCACCACTTAGCAAAAGCCATGCTGTGGCAGGCGTCCCACATATAAAGTAGAGGAAGATGGGCATGGATGTTGGCTCAGGGCCAGTCTTCCTCAGCAAAAAGAGGAGGATTGGCAGTAGTTAGTTCAGGGCTAATCTTCCTCAAAAAAACCTCACTGTAATGGTTTTAAGCAAGAGCATAACAGATCACATTTGCTAGAGCAGTGTTTGCTTCCCAGCCTCTTTGCTGGAGTAGGACTGGGGCACTGGCTGTTTTATTCTGCTCCTCCTATACCTTGGGGGCAGCAACCAGTACTAATCCAGTGTTGCCTAACAGTTTGGGCCTGCAGGAGGACTGAGCTTGTGGCTGTGTATGTAGGAGCAGTACTAGGAAATAAGTTGGGAAAGATAGGTTGGGGCTATTTTTTGTGGAAATCATTGAATGCCAGGCTGTAATTTGTACTTAATTTGGTAGACAGTGGAGAGATGTTAAAATATTTGGAGTAGAATAATACAATTAGAGTTCTGTTTGAAAAATTAATCTAGCAGTAATGTGTAGTAAGAGAGGATAGGAACAAAGAGACTAGACCAATAAAGAATTAAATGAATTTTTTTAACTAAATTTTATCATAAAGTGATCTCTCAAGAATCCGCTAAGATACTTTATTTCCCCGGTGTAACTGACCAATCTAAAGAAACATAGATTGGAATAAATTACATACCTTTCAAGAAGGATGTGCACACTAGTGTGGAGGTCAGTTAGCATTTTACATAGTCAAGAGGCTAGCCCATTCTTTTGTGTTATAAATAATAATATTAATACTTCTGATAAACAATGGCTTTACCACATAGACAGGTTCCCAGAAGTTGCTAAGGCCTTCGTTGGTTAAATTTCTTCTACACCTGTAAATCCTACATTTCTAACTTTTTAAGGTCAAAACTCCTCTCTCTTTGCCAATCCCTTAAACCTCTTGGATGAATAAAATGCGTTAGCAAACAAAAAGGAAGTCTTCAAGGCCCATCTCTTTGGAAACTGATCCATATCAGACTATCTAAAACTTACTGCCCAAATACCAGCTAGTCTCCAAATTGTGTGCTTTTCTAAACATATTGTTCAAAAAATTGTTTTGATGGTCCAAATATTAGTAATCAAAATGAGTAAATGTAAAGTTACTTAACTTTCTGAACCAGATTCTCTGAGAGACTACCTTCTTCAGCATGACTTACCTATATTGACTTTGTCCATCTAACTACTGGAGACCATTTGGGTAGTGATAAGGTTCAATACAGACTGAAAATCAAGTTTATGTAGAGTCTGAGATTTATCTATCTGTTCCCTTTTTGGAGGGAAGAGGGAACAGCTCTATCTTAAAGCAGAGACAATACTTGAAATTTATGAAGCTTTTTAAAAACTTTTATTACTTGGGGCTGGCCCCGTGGCCAAGTGGTTAAGTTTGCGCGCTCCGCTGCAGGCGGCCCAGTGTTTCATTGGTTCGAATCCTGGGCGCGGACATGGCACTGCTCGTCAGACCACGCTGAGGCAGCGTCCCACATACCACAACTAGAAGAACCCACAACGAGAAATATACAACTATGTACTGGGGGGCTTTGGGGAGAAAAAGGAAAAAATGAAATCTTAAAAAAAAAAAAAAAAAAACTTTTATTACTTGTAGAAAATCTCTGAAAATTCCTTTCTCAGGCTTCTAATTAAATGGCTGTCCCTTCGCATATTCCTGTGTTATGGAAGCAGTATCAATCCTGATACTGAAAAAAATTGTCCTGATTACAGTTATTATTTTTGAGCATCTGTATTACAGGTTTAAAAACCTTAAGCCTGCCTTCCCTGATAGCCAACGAATGAATAAATACTCTCTCAGAGCATTGTGACAAATTAAAGTCCTTCAAAACAATAGCTTGGGAACTTCTGGCCTTTGTTGGCTCTTAATTTTCTCACAGCAGCAACTTGGCACTTTACATTAAAATAAATAGTTGCTGGTAATGTTTAGCCCTACTTAGTAATATGTAATCTAATTCAAACTTGGTCAGATAGCCCACAAGTAT